CTTGTTGTCTCGGATTCTCCAGCATCTGCAGTTCCTACTATCTCTGATTCAACATACCCCAGGAGTGTTCTAATCACAAATTTGAACATCTTGCTGCTTTTCGAGTTACAAACATAGAAATATTTTCTCACAGATAGAACAAACAAACCTCTTCCTTTCCAGTTAAATGCCAATGATGTTCAGATCCTGATGACTCTGCTGACTGTCAGAGCTTAAGATTCCCGTCTGCAAATATATTCTCAATTAAATTCTGTAAAGCGAATTCGCAGAAGAAAAATCACTGTCAGCCCAGGATGGAAATCAGGAAAAGACAAACATTTCTCTTGGTTTTAGACGACTGTGCAAATGCTCTTCAAATTGCCCCGCCCCACCCCACCCCACCCAAGTAGTAAGAAATGTGCGTATGCGCGCTGTTGCGCGATGCCCCGAATAAAGATGGCGGCGTTTTCCCAGGGCTTATCACCGCCTAAGGCCCGTTGGCTATGAATGCGGACAGGGAGTTTCTAATTCAGGACTGGCGGCATATACAGGTATAAAACCTTACAATCCAGACTGACTCAATTTTTCTCCTGGTGTCTGCTGATTCTCCCCGTTTCCCGTCTCCGCCTCCCGCACTCAAAGCGACACATTGCGGGCACCATAATGGTCACATGTCGTCCTGCTCGCCCCGCCCCCTACTCACACCTATTGGTTGGAGGACCAGCTGCCTTCGTCTGGTCCGCCGGCCGCCCTCTCTCCTTCTATTGGTCAGTGAGCTGCCGTCAATCAGCCGGGTCCCACCTTGAGGTGAGTGGTGGGATTCTCTCTCTCTCTCTCTGTCTGCCCTTGGATAAACTTCATCGTTCGCAGTGAATGGTGCAGTATCACAAGGCTCGGGGCTGGTGGCCATTCAGCCCAGTGGACTTTTGCCCTCGCACGCAAGAAATGCTGCAAATTTATCCCAACTCCCCTACCCTTTGCCCAAAGCCCAAATCTTTCCTTAAAAAGTTAAATTCTGAATCTATTTTGAGAATAACTGTTGCATCCAGCCTCAGACTGTTCCAGATCCTCAGAACTTGCTGAGTAAAATAATCTTCATATTTTCACCTTGCATTATTTGCCAATTGTCTGAAAGCTGTGTTCTGTGGTGACCAAACATTGTGACAATGCTGATAGTCTCTCTCTCTCTGTAAATGAAATATCATGAAAACAAATCTACACCTCGACTCAATCACTGCTTAATGTTCTCAATGATCAAGATCCCATTGTACTCTGAGGTAACTTTCTTTGCTGTCTACTACACCTCCAATTTTGGTATAATTTGCAAACTTATTAACCATACTTCCTATGTTCATATCCAAATCATTTATATAATTAACAAAAAGCGTTGGACCAGCACCGATTCTCGTGACACACCACTGGTCACAGGCCTCCAGTCTGAAAAGCAACCTTCCACCACCACTCTCGATCTTCAACCTTCAAGCCAGCGCTGTATCCGAATGGCTAGTTCTCCCTGTATTCTGTGTGGTCTAATTTTGCTAACAACTCCACCATGAGGACCCTTGTTGAATACCTTACTGAAGTCCATAAAGATCACATCCACCACTCTTCCCTCATCAATCCTGCTTGTTACTTCTTCAAAAATCCTTAATCAGTCTTTGCCTTTGCAAAAACATGTAAATGCTGTCCTTCAAGATTCCCTCCAACAACTTGCTCTCCACCGATGCGAGGCTCATTGGTCTATACTCCCTGGCTTTTCCTTACCACCTTTCTAAATAGAGGCACCACGTTATCCAACCTTCAGTCTTCCTGCACCACAGCTGTGTCTATCAATGATACAAATATCTCAGCAAGGGGACCAGCAATCACTTCCCTAGCTTCTCACAGAGTTTGAGGCTACACCTAATCAGGTCCTGGGGATTTATCCACCTTTATGCATTTTAAGATGTCCAGCATCTCCTACTCTGTAATATTGACATTTTTCAAGATGTCGCTATTTATTTCCCCACGTTCTCTATTTTCCATATCCTTCTCCACGTTAAACATTTGTGCAAAATACTTGGTGAGTATCTCCCCCATCTTCTGCAGTTTAACACATAGGCAGCATTTATGATCATTAAGGGGCCCTATTCTCTCCCTAGTTACCCTTTGTCCTTTGGATTCTCCTTAACCCTTTTTGCCAAAGCTAGCTCATGTCCCCTTTTTGCCCACCTGATTTCCCGCTTAAGTATACTCTGACTGCCTTAAACTCTTCGAGGGATTCGCTCAATCTCTCCTATCTCTACCTGAAACACACTTTCTTATTATTCTTGAACAAAACTTCAATTTCTCTCGTCATCCAGCATTCCCTACACCTACTAGACTTGCCCTTCACCTTTAAAAAGACATACTATCTCCAAACTCCCGTTACCTCATTTTTGAAAGATTCCCATTTTCCAGCTGTCCCTTTACCTGCAAATATCCTCCCCCAATCAATTTTTGAAATTTCTTGACGAATGCTGTCAAAATTGGCCTTCCTCCAATTTAGAACTTTAACTTTTAGATTCAGTCTATCCTTTTCCATCACTAGTTTAAAACTAATATAATTATGTTCACTGGCCCCAAAGTTCTCCCCCACTAACAACTCAGTCACCTGCCCTGCTTTATATCCCAAGAGTAGGTAAAATTTTGCACCTCTTCTAGTTGGTACATCCACATACTGAATCAGAAAAATTTCTTACACAAACTTAATAAATTCCACTCCATCAAAGCTGTTAACACAATGGCAGTCCCAATCGATGT